ATAAAGGACTTAAATCTAAGACCTAAAACTATAAAAATTTGAGAAGATAACATTGGAAAAATCCTTCTAGACATTGCATGAAATCCTTAGGCAAGAATTTCATGATCAAGACCCAAAAACAAATGCAGTGAAAACAAAGATAAATTGTTGGGACTTAGTTAAACTAAAGAGCTTTTGCATGGCAAAAGGAATAGTCAACAGGGTAAAAAGACAACCCACAGAATGGGCAAAATCTTCAAAAATCTGTACATCTGAAAAAGGACTAATATTCAGAATCTACAATGAACTCAAGCAAATCAAAAAGAACAAAACAAAAATCCCATCAAAAAGTGGGCTAAGGACATGAATAGATAATTCTCAAAAGAAGATATACAAATGGCCAACAAACATATGAAAAAATGCTCAACATCACTAATAATCAGGGAAATGCAAATCAAAACCACAATGTGATACCATCTTACTCCTGCAAGAATGGCCATAATCAAAAAATCTGGTGGGAATGAAAACTAGTACAATCACTATGGAAAACAGTGTGGCGATTCCTTAAAGAACTAAAAGTTGAACTACTATTTGATCCAGCAATCCCACTACTGGGTATCTACCCAAAGGAAAAGAAGTTTTTATACAAAAAAAGATACTTACGCATGCATGTTTATAGCAGCACTATTCACAATTGCAAAATCATGGAACCAACCCAAATGCCCATCAATCAATGAGCGGATAAAGAAACTGTTATACACACACACACACACACACACACACACACACACATACACATATATATATGATGGAATACTACTCAGCCATAAAAAGGAATGAGTTAATGACATTCACAGGGACCTGAATGAGATTGGAGATTATTACTCTAAGTGAAGTAACTCTGGAACAGAAAACCAAACATCATATGTTCTCACTCATAAGTGGGAGGTAAGCTATGAGGATGCAAAGGTCTAAGAATGACACAATAGACTTTGGGGACTCAAGGGGAAAGGGCAGGAAGGGAGTGAGGGATAAAAGACTACAACTACTGTGCATTATACATTGCTCACAAATCACCACCAAAGAACTTGCTAATGTAAGTTTATCCCTTCACCTTCGACCGTAAAACACAGCCGCCCCCAAAGAGGCCATTTCAGAAGCCTACCTTCAGAGGCCATTCTCTTTCTCAGGGATGTTCCTTGCTGAGAAAAAGAATTCAGTGATATTTCTCCTATTTGCTTTTGAAAGAAGAGAAATATGGCTCTGTTCCACCCGCTCACCAGCAGTCAGAGTTTAAGGTTATCTCTCTTGTTCCCTGAACATTGCTGTTACCCTGTTCTTTTTTCAAAGTGCCCAGATTTCATATTGTTCAAACACACATGCTCTACAAACAATTTGTGCAGTTAATGCAATCATCACAGGGTCCTGAGGCAACATACATCCTCCTCAGCTTAGGAAGATGATGGGATTAAGAGATTAAAGTAAAGACAGGCATAGGAAATCACAAGGGTATTGATTGGGGAAGTGATAAGTGTCCATGAAATCTTCACAATTTATGTTCACAGATTGCAGTAAAGATAGGCATAAGAAATTACAAAGGTATTAATTTGGGAAAATAATAAACGTCCATGAAATCTTCACAAGTTATGTTCTTCTGCCATGGCTTCAGCTGGTCCCTCCGTTCGGGGACCCTGACTTCCCGTAACACATAAATACATCTTTATTGTCTGATTCTCCTCCTGTATTATTTACTCCTTGAGGTCGAAGACCTCATAGCCTTATTTCACTAATATATTCCCAACACCCAGTACCTGGCACAAGGTAGGAAAGCAGTTATTAAACAAACTGAAGGACTAAATAAATGAGCCAATGAATGAATTAATGATAGCATGGAAGATTATTCAACAAAATGTTTTATGGATATAATCAGCTGATAGATCATGGATAATAACATTCTTCTATGTACATTTTTCCACTTATGCTTAATATCACTTGAAATATCTCTATATGCATATTCTTTAGGATAAAAGAATATTTTTAATGTTTTGTTTATATATTGAGGGCTTAAAACAACTCAAGAGCAACATTAGGATAATATTACTTCAAGGAAGCTTGTAAAGGAGGTATTGGGCAAGGAAATACTACTGAAAAATTATCTTAAATGTTCACTGCAGTGAGAATCAAAGCTTTAGATACCAGAAAAATGAAGAGTATAAATAATTAACTATTAGGAAAACAAATATATTTGTCTTTTTTTTTTTTTTTTTTTTTAAATGGCATTTTGGCCATGTCACCCAGGCTGGAGTGCAATGGCATGATCTTGGCCCACTGCAACATCTACCTCCCAGGTTCAAGTGATTCTCCTGCCTCAGCCTACCAAGTAACTGGGATTACAGGTGCCTGCCACCACACCCAGCTAATTTTTGTATTTTTAGTAGAGATGGGGTTTCAACATGTTGGCCACCCTGGTCTCGAACTCCTGACCTCTGGCAATCCACTGGCCTCAGCCTCCCGAATTGTTGGGATTACAGGCATGAGCCACCATGTCTGGACAGATATTTGTCTTTTTAAAAAACATATCAAAATGAGAGGTCAAGCTAGTCCTATCCAGAGTTCTTCACATTCTTCAAATGTACGGGAAGGAGCCCTTCCTGAACATGCTACATACAACCAGTAAATACCTCCCCAAAAAAGTAGCTCTTCTCCTCCTACCTCTTTACATTCTTTAAATGTAAAGAACCCAAACCTTAGCATCATACAATGTACCCTTGTAATAAGCCTGCACATATAACCCTTGAATTTAAAATAAAATTTGAAGTGGATAAATCCACATAAAGAACAAACTTTTTATGGACTTAATTGCCTGAACCTAAATTTCATTCAGAATTCAGAGTTCTGCACATGATACAATAAAGAACATTCAGATGTGATTTCCCTTGCAAAGTATATACAGAGATCCCAAATAGTAAGTTATAGCTCTTCTTCAAATGATGCTCACTAATTTACACACAAAGACATTCTGTATGTTTGTGCTATTCTATAATCTTACTCACAAGGGAGATTTCCATTTGGAAAAAGAAGTAAATTATGAAAATTTTTCCTCAGTGTTAGTATATGTAATTTCTATGGTAAATATAAAAATTACAGGATATGTAGTTATGATTCCCATTCAATTTATTCAATAATTAAGTGTTGAGTGAGTCTTATATGCTAACAATTATGCTAGATCATGAATTGTCTGAGTATGAAAATAAATGTTAACAGGTTTCTAGCCTTCAAAAACCCATGGCCTTTTTCCTATTAACAAAACAACCATTTGACTTGAAGTTATGTAACGTAGGAGTAAAACCACAGAAAAGCACAAGCTTTGACAACAAACCAAGTAGATCAAAATTCTAACTCACTCTTTTTCTTTTTCATTCTTTTTTTTTTTTTAGAGACAGGTTTCACCCTGTTGCCCAGGTTGGAGTACAGTGATGTGATCATAGCTCCTTGCAGCCTCAACCTCCTGGGCTCAAACAACCCTTCCACTTCAGCCTCTTGAGTAGTTAGAATTACAGATGCACACTACGATGTCCCGCTAAGTTTTTAATATTTGAAACTTTTTTGTAGATGGAGTCTTTTTATGTTCCCCAGGTTGCTCTTGAACTCCTGGCCTCAAGCAATCCTCTTGCCTAGGCTTGCCAAAGTGCTGGGATTACAGGTGTGAGCCACCACACCCAGTCCTAACTCACTCTTTTAATACATATATGCTATTCTATTGTATGGATGTAGCAGTATTTATCCAACCAGTCCCCTATCGATATAGTATGCATTCAGTATTTTCTGCAATTAGGTGACATAAGACAGTGCTGCAACAAACACCCCTGCACACAGAGCCTTATGTTCTGATGTGTTTATTTACACAGAAATTAAAAGCAATAGCCTCCAGATTGCTGCAATCGTCTAACTAGTGTGCCTGCTCTGTCTTTGCTCTTTTATCATGTACATAAAAATTGTAACTTAGACCATGTCAGTCTTCTGCCCCAATCCATCAGTGGTCTGTCAGTTCTCTTAGAGCAAAAGACAAAGTCCTTCGATGACCTGTGTCTCTTTGTGAATTGCTCATCTTCATCCTCGGTATCATTTTGACCCCATCTCCTACCACTCCCCACCACAGTTCCTTCACTCCAGACACACTGGCCTCAGCACTATTCCCTGAATCCAAAACAATGCAAGCCTTCACCTTGGAATTTCTTGCATTTGCTTGTTCCCTCTACTTGGAGCTCTCTTTGCGTAGGTCTCTGCACGCCCCACTCTCTCGCATTCTTCAGGTCTCCTCCACTCAAGTGTTACTTTCTTAGCGGCGCCCTTCCAGAACATGCTAAATGCTAAACAAAACCAGTAACATACCTCCCCAAAAGAAGTAGCTCTTCTCCTCCTACCTCACTTTATTTTGTTCAAAGCGTTAATTACATTTGACATACTTTGGATTTACTTGTTTATTTGTTTATTTTCTGTTTCCAGTCCTACACCAAATAAGAGTACCACCCACAGGGGTAAGGACTTACTTTTTCCACTGCCATATCCCCAGTAACTAAAATTGTGCCTGGCACATAGTAAATGCTCACTTGATTTTTATTAAATGAATTGATAAAGGAATACGAGAGACTCAAAGCTAGGATAGATGCTGCCAGATTAATTTCCCCAAAATGTTGCTGCAATCAATATTTTTCTGCAAGATGTAAGAATGATTGTAACTACTTCCCCACGCTTTTACCAACTCTAGACATTATCACTCTTTTTGTTATTTGTGTATGTACTTTTTGTCTAAGGGATAGTTGCAGCTTTTATCAAGTAAATGTGAAATTCTAATGTGTATCCAAACACGCATATTTAATTTACTTCAGTATGTTCCTAAGTGACAGACTGTACAGAATGCAAACAGAAACAATGCAGATAACTAAAGTTTCGAGCTAGTATTTTCAATAGTTCATGTCCACAGATTTTTAGCTCCAACAATTAAAATGCAAATCAAATACCTCTTCAAGGAGACCTGTCTAAGGCAGCAGTCTCTCAGTTTCAAGGAAGCATCTTTCAGCCAGCACCGTCCTTCTGTAAAATAAGCAGCTTCTTTGGCAAGTCTGAAAGAAAGAATGGGGAAAATGAGAGGATCACTCATTATAACTACCCTCCTGGAGTTCTTTCAAGAATATGCTTCCATGACAGATAAAGGGAATTCAGAGGCTAAGAGGCACTCTGTTAAGATTTACAGGCGGCTTTGGCACAGATCCAGATGCAAGATAAATAACAAATGTGAACAGGAAAACAAGGATGTGACAGAGTGAGAATATCCTTCATATGACATGAAAGGCAGTGATTCTGGGGATGCAAACTCAGCCTGTTGAATAGTCCTTGAAAATGGCATTTTAAAAGAACATCAAGCAGTTGGAAGACCTATGGGGAAATTGACAGGATCCAGAACTAGACAGTCGTGTTGAAGTATTGTAAGGCATGGATTTGCTTTAAAAATGTCTCAGTGTTAAAAGATAATTGCCATTTGTAGTGTAGAAATTACAAAGTCCGGTCATTTTTTGGATAGTTCTGAGTTAATAAAATGATAGCATAAACCAAAATTAACACTAAATTCAGTCATTTTTCACTTTCAAGTTATTCTTTTCTCTCATATTTAATAGGGTTTTGGGAAGGAAGACAGGTACCTTTCCCAATTGCAAACTACAGATGTCCTACAAAACCCCAAAATATTCAGGCCTACTTCAGAAATTAGCCAAATTCCACATTTTGGAGATAAAACTTAAGTTGGAGGTAGAGCCAATAAAAAGATAAAATACTGCCAGACTACAGAAGACTCAGATGATTTCAATGATGTTGCCAACAGATGGCAAATGCAGGGCAGTGGAAGATAATGCCAAAATAATTACCTCTCAAGCCAGAAGCCAAACTAGGGAGTATGTTCTGAGAAATAATTATTCTACTCACTGCTCAGGAAAAGGACACGCACACACACAAATATTAGGAGGAAAATAATCAAATCTGTAGAAATAAAGGAATAGTACTTAGATTAAATTATTCTATCAAAGGAAATGGAAAAGGAGAAAGAATAATTTAGCTATGCCTCTTAAGAATAACATTATATGAAAGTAATTCAATAATAATAATGTTTGCCTTTTTAAAGCCATATGTGCTAGGCCTTGTGTCAAATGCTTTTATAAGTATTTTCTCATTCAACTCAGGATAATGCTGTGAGCTTGATTTTATTATTACTCAGGTTTTACAGGAGAATAAAGAAGTTAAGTTCTCTTTCCAAGGTCATATAACTTGTAAGTGGTGGAGCCAGGATCCACTGCTAGACATTTTGATGACAGAGACTCCACTCTTGGATATTTCACTGCATAAGGTCACATTTTACAGGTAAACACCTAAAAAGCAGCTTAACTTTCTATCTGAAGGCAACCCAACTATGTAACCCTGGTATATGACAATGTTACTCTGTTCACCTAAGACTCAAAGACTCATTGACACAAACATTTAATTGGCACTTACTGTATCAAAAATGTCACACTAGGCACTAGGGAGAAGATAATTTCAGCTCAGGAAGAATATACTGTGTAGTGGGTGCTATTAGGCCATTCTTGCATTGCTATAAAGAAATACCTGAAACTAGGTAATATACAAGAAAGAGGTTTATGTGGCTCACAGTCCTGCAGGCTGTACAGGAAACATAATGCCAAGCAGCACCTGCTTCTAAGGAGGCCTCAGGAAGCTTTTACTCATGGTAAAAGGCAAGGCAGAAACAGGAACTTCATATGGTGAAAGCAGAAGCAAGAGAGAGAGAGTGTGTGAGCAGGAGGAGCCACACACTTTTAAATGATGGGCTCTTGCAAGAACTCACTATCATGAAGACAGCACCAAGCCATAAGGGATCTGCCTCCAGGATCCAAACACCTCCCACCAGGCCCCATCTCCAGCATTAGGAATTACAATCCAAGATGAGATTTGGGTGGGGACAAAAATCCAAACTATATCAGTAGAGAATAAGATAGATATGCAAACAAATAACCATAATGCAATGCAAGAAATGGCATGCTAGCAGATACATTCATGGGAAGGTGGGAAGAAAGAAAGGGATGAGAAGTAACTGAAAGAAAGAAAACAGAATATCCAAAGACATTAAGTTGGCATTCACAAAAAAACATTCAAATACGGAATGCAGACCTTGACAAAAGAACATAACTATTAAAAATGCATTAAAAAATGCATGGAATAATTTTGCTGAAGAGTGTACTCATCTAAGTAACTTTGGAAAGGGGTAAAGACTGTAAGACTAAATGCTAAGGAAACTTAAGCATTATACTCTCCTTGATAAAATTGTTTTCCCTGGGGATATAGTTAACAGTTATTTAAAAACTACACATGTATATTGTAATTTTACAAAAAAGTAAATGGATGATGGATGATGAGAGTAAGATTTCTCACTATTGGAGCGGTAGATAACAGACAAGCAAAGAGACAAGACAAGAAAAATCCATGTGGTAATGTTTACAGTTGGGAACATCAGTATAAACTCCTGTCTAGCTTAATATAGATTTTGATGGAAATGTTTAGAGATATGCATGTGTGTGTGTTTATGCACAGCTTAGCATACACATATATGTTTTCTTGTTCTGTCAACGATAATTACCTACAAGAGACGACACACCAGTAGCCACACCTAAAGGTCAGATCATGGTTTCTAATACCTTTCTCCAATAAAGGAACCAAATATCTTTAGAGAAATATCTTATTCTAAGACTGGGGCAGTAAATGTACAAGATGAGTCTGGAGCCTGTTTTACTCAAGAATAAAAAGAAACAAACCCACGTTGATAGGTATATGACAAAATAATGGCACATGAGCTAACTGCAAGAGCTCCTAATGGCCAAAGCAGGAACAGTAATAATAAAATTATATTCGATTATAACCTAAAATATAAAATAAATATCCATTAACCCATACTAATATAAATAGCTAATTAAATAAATAGATGAGAGAGAACTAATAACTTTCTTATGCCAAAGAATTCCAAATAATTTACAAAGACACCCCATTCTCAAGGAGGGGAACATAACTCTATAGTGGAGAAACCTGACAAACACTTCTTCAGCCAGATAATCAAAGTTAATATCAACAGTGGTTACATATGTTGATTAGTATGTGCCCCTGCTATGACATGATGATAATGACACTTTGCTTCTGTGGTCTCCCTCCCAAATTCCCATAACACCAGTGCAATCATAAGCAAATCACAATATAAATCACTACTGAAAAATGTTCTACAAAATCAGGTTCTACTAATTTTGGCGAGTTTGGAAGACAGAAGATGGCCGAAGCATATTTCTCTTCCTCTGGCAGTGACAAGCAGTCATTTGACCTTCTCTCCTTGAGTCATTTTCCTTGATGCTCCACATTTTATAAATTTTCTTAACAGGAGAAAAAGCAGCAATTTCCTGATCCTTTAAAAATCTACAGCAAATAGAAAACACGCGACAGCCTTTCCTGACCTTCACTCTTAGAGACCATTCAGTGGTTTTCTAAGCACCTAATCCCCTGTATTAAATTCCTTTCTTCTCAAAATAGTTAGGGTGGTATCTGTTTCCTGACTGACCTCACTGATAAACACATAATGTATCCATCGCAGCACCTAGCTCTCATAGGCACTCAATAACGTTCTACAAAATGCATGAACAGAACTCCTTCAAAATCTTCAAAGTCAACAAAATCAAGCAAAGTCTGAGAAGCTGTCCCAACCAGGAGGAGCCTAAGGAAACAGGGCTATGTGAAATGTGATATCATTGATAGGATCCTAGAACAGAAAAAAGACATTAGGCAAAACCTAAGAAAATCTGAGGAAAATGTGAACTTTAGTTGATAATAATGTGTCAGTATTGGCTCATTAATTGTAATAAGTGTATCATGTTAAGGTAAGACATTAATAATAGGTAAAATCAGGTGTGCGTTATCTGCACAACTTTTGTATAAATCTAAAACTATTTTATATTTAAAAGTGTATTAAAATCAAATATCCATCACAAGAATTAAAAAGAATTTAAATAATATAGAAAAGAAAATTAAATATTTTTATATTTATGAGCTTTCATAAAAAGAAAAATAGCATTCATTGAATATGTACTTCTAAATATTAAGAAATTAAGTACCCTAGAAACTTACATATACATGAGAAAGATGAACACTTACCCTCAATATACAAAAAATTCAAAGAATAGAGCAACTTTTTAGCAAATTCTGAGAGGTAGAACTTCTGGGAGGGAAAAAAAGGCTCAAGCAAAAAGTTGCAGGATAAACTAATCTGACCTTCCTAAAGTGGATAAAATTGGTATTATTGAAGGATAAGATTGTCTCCCTGAATGGCTCTCTCTCTCTGTCAATTTCTAGCAAGTCTCTTTCTTATTTTTCTCACCAAAACATTAAAAAAGATGAGCCTGAAATGAACTACCAAGAACTGAATTAACTATGGTCAATTTTCACAGTAGTTGAACATAATAGGATCATGGAATCTCAGAGCAGGTCAAATCACCAGGGTCAATCCCTCACTGTGAGGAAACTGAGACCCAGAGAGATAAGGTGTCTTGTCCTACAAAATAGGTATAACTGGTGACTCATTTGACACTAGAGCCAAGTTTTCTTTAACTCTAGGGCCATGCTTTTACCCATGTATGACACCACTGATGGAAAAGAACTGCTACATGTTACTTCTTGCAGCCATTCCTTATTTCCTTACCTTTCTGTCTTTCTCTCTCTCTCCAATGTTTGTCTATTACAACCCATTTTCTAACAGAGCAGATAGAGAGGTTAAAATACCCTCTACCCTATGCATCCCATACCCTAGATAATGAATAAACTTATATTCCATCCTTAAAGACAAAATGTTGTACTAGTATAAAGCAGCCATGCCCTAAGGTGACAAGTTAATCCTGGAACCAAAGCACACCAGCTCACACCAACATGCTTCACACCATAATAAACTCAGAAACTTCATTAAAGTAATGTTTGCTTATGAAGCTGGAACCAATTAAAAGTAATTAAACAAAAAAGAGTGATCCATTTCTTCTACTATATTAATTTAATTTGGATGAGAATAAGCTATACCTCGAATTAATCACTTCAATGGGAGTTGGTTAAAATGGCTAGGTTTT